GCTGTGCTTCCCGGGCGAGCGGCCGCTGCTCCCACAGCAGTGTGGAAAGCAGGTCCGGAGAGGTGATTCTCCCCCTCTGCTCTCGTGAGATCCGCCTGGAATAGTGCACACGGCTCTGGTGTTTTCAGCATAAGGACATGGAACTGTTGGAGCAAGGCCAGAGGAGGCCACGAAGTTGGTAAGAGGAGTGGAGCATCTCCCCTGTGAGGACAGGCTGAGGGAGTTAGAGCTGTTCAGCTCGGAGAAGGTTGTGTGGATACCTGATAGACTCCCCCTCTGCTCTCGTGAGATCCGCCTGGAATAGTGCACACGGCTCTGGTGTTTTCAGCATAAGGACATGGAACTGTTGGAGCAAGGCCAGAGGAGGCCACGAAGTTGGTAAGAGGAGTGGAGCATCTCCCCTGTGAGGACAGGCTGAGGGAGTTAGAGCTGTTCAGCTCGGAGAAGGTTGTGTGGATACCTGATAGAAACTTTTCAGTATCTGAATACAAGGAGCGGAGCTGGAGAGGGACTCTGTGTCAGGAGCTGCAGTGATAGGACAAGGGGTAATGGGCTCAAACTGAAGGAGGGGAAATTTAGGTTAGATATTAGAAAAAAGCTGTTTCTTTTGAGGGTGGTGAGACACTGGCACAGGTTGCCCAGGGAGGCTGTGGCTGCCCCAGCCCTGGCAGTGTTCAGAGCCTGGTTGGATAAAGCCTTGAGCAACCTGCTCTGGTGGGAGATGTTCCTGTCCAGGGCAGGGGACTGGGACTAGATGATCTCTAAGGTCCATTACAACCTCTAAAATTCTATGATTCCATTCCTTTAGGAATACATGGATGTCCCATTCCTCTAGGGATACATGGATACTCCATTCTTTTAGATATGGATATTTTATTCCTTTAAGGATATATGGATGTTCTGTTCCTTTAGGAAGATATGGGTATTCCATTCCTTTAGGGATATATGGATGTTCCTTTAGGGTTAGGAAGATATGGGTATTCCATTCCTTTAGGGATATATGGATGTTCTGTTCCTTTAGGGATACACAACACCAAACCTGCATCCACATGTAATGAGTCCAGGCAACTTGCAATTTCACTGTGTTGAGGAACTAGTGCCACACATACACAAAGGCTCTATAAACTTACCAACCTGTAAAACTTCTAGTGACACCTGAAAAACAAAAGTCTGGTAACAAAGCCACTAAAAGATTCAGGGCCTTTACTTTTCCCAGAGACAAACCCACATGAAAAAAAGCATTAAACATTAAGAGTCTCATTTAGACGCAAAAAATTACAGGTTTTCATGTACTTTGGGGCTTGGTTTCTTTCTTTCTTCCAGTGTTTTGGTAGTGGTTACTAGGTCTGTATGAGTATTAGGTCTGTTTGAATTTGATGCATTATGGAGCAAGCTCAACTACACCAGGCTCCTAGGGCCACCTCCAGTTGGGTTTTTGAGTATCTTCAAGAATGGAGACTTTGCCACCTTTCCAGACAACCCATGTCAGTGTCTGACTACCCTTCACAAAGGAAAAATACCTTATGGTCAGATAGAATTGCCCATGTTTCAATTTATACCCCCATTTCCAAGTGTTAAGCTTCAGTCTTCTAAGATGACAGCATTACTGTACTCTCAGGGGAAAAAAAAAAATCCAAAAGAACAGTAAATAAAAGAATGGTTATGAAAAGTTACATAAATATACCTCTGTATAATTTTCTTCTTCCCAAACAGAATCTAAGTTTACATTATGTAAACCTTTCAGCATAGCATTAAAGGAAATGACAAGTGGAAGAACAGAAATTACTTTCTTTAATGAAGAAAATATGATTTGTAACCATGAAAGAGTAACTTTTTAATCCAGTCTGGAGGACTAAACCCAAGCTTTACACAGATTCATAGCCAACCTCCAAGATTCTCAAGTACAACCAAATATTTCAGGCAGCAAGTTTAATTCAAGAGTTTTCACTGGTTTTCATATGAGAGACTTATGTTTACATTCAAACGTTAAAGAATAAAAAAAGACACAAAGCTTACAGATCAAAGAACTTGCCCCACTCTGTACCAGCACTCAAACATTCTTTTGCTTTTCCTCTGGATGGTACAAACCCAAGATGCTAGCAAGGATTACGTGATTAATTTGGTTGTTTTTCCATCTCATGAACCCAATGCTCAGCAGTGACGCACGAGTTTGGAGAGGCATTTTATTTAGACAACTGAAAACAGTCAAACGTTCTGAAGAATGAAACAAAACCCTGTAAGTACATAATCCCTTCAATTAGAGCCAATTTTTCCAACTTTCAAGAAAAAAAAACCAAAGGGTAAAAGCCATTGTATCTCTTCTCCATAATAAAGAGAACACTACGAGTCTAAATGAAATTGGAGAGACTGGATCTTGGCTTGCACACTTCTTTGAAAAGACAGTAGGCAGTTATGCCAAAAAGACAGCAAAACTCTACTACTTGTCTTTTGGGATTTTATTTGGATACTGAGTTCTGTTGCAGACAACACCCAGCCAGTTCCACCGCATTCCATCAATCGCTGCCGTCTGCCTTGCGTCGCGCGCACTCGGGAAGGCTGATCTTGGTCACTCTTGATTTAGTCTCAGGTGTCCCTGTGTCACGTAACAGTTGCAGTAATCAGGCCTTAACTTCAGGAGTTGAGCTGTACACGGTATCTGAGTTTTCAGAGGCAATCTCTTCTGCAATGAAATTAAAAGGATGTTATTTAACTTCACCTTAGCTAGACAAACCAAGGAAATGTTGCAGGGATTGCTTAAGACCAGCTCAGTTTGTTTTCCCATTCAACCTGATCCAGCTATTCTACCCCATCTGTTCAGCCTGCACAGCTCCAGTCACGAGTCTGACACTTGCCACATGGTGATTTTCAGGGAAATGCATTCAAAGATCTTTTGAAAAGAGTGAAAAATGCCAGAAGGTACTTGACAGAAGCTACCTCTTCCATACTAAGGAATGCTATCATCTTGACTGATCTCTTAACACTCAGCTGAGTTGAAGCTGGCAGTTCATTTCATTACCTATTTCCTCCTCTGCAGTTCCTGGAAGGGTAGTCCTTGCTTTTGCTGCTTCTGCATTCTCCTCTTCTGTAGAGGAGTAGAAAAAAAAGGAAAAAAAAAAAAATAAAAAGAAAAAAATCACTCAATACCTTCAATTCCAACCACCCACTTCAAAAAAAAAAGGTCATTTCCAGTTAATTTAGTGTTGAGGAGAAACAGCTGGGTAAGCAAATCCATGAATGAACACTCACTTGCAGTTTTCTAGACATTGCTTCCCTTCCCCCAAAGTTTAGAGAACCAAAGGACAATATAAAATAAAACTACCACTCACACTACTGTCTTGAGATTATCTCTTTCAGAATTATAAAGGTGGTATTGCATATTTCTTGATCTTCAACATAAAAACACATCAGAATATTTGCTTAAACACTCACAAAGTGCCTATATTAGTTAAGTTACAGGTTTGATGTTAATTGCTTATTTAAGTACATCCTTAAACTTAACAGCTGTGAGAGGATACAGAAACCCTCAGAAGACAGCAGTTACTATATGAAATTCAGAAATACCACTAATGATAGTTAAGACTTAAAAAGCACACACGGAGCAGCCAAGCCTCATCAGGAACAAGCACACACTTACCAGGAACTACACACTTCCAAAGGCCATAGGTTTTCCCTACTGTTGTCTGCCACAGCCTTAGTGTACCATCCTCAGAGCCACTTGCATACAACTCTCCATCAGGGCTGAACCTCACACAGTGAATTGGACCAAAGTGTCCTTTGTAAGATTCTGTAAGAGAACATATCAGGACCATCAATTTCAAATCTCAGCCAACAACTGAAATTATTAAGTACAAACTGATCAGAAGAGGGGGAAAAAACACTGATGGGAAGGCACTTTCTCAGCATTTAATTTCTGATGCAAAACAAAGCTCCCATGAATTGGTAACTCAGCAATGTCTAATTTAGGTAAACTATTAATGGTTCATTAACTGCAAGGAAAAAGGTGTTACTAATTCTAGACAAAACTATAAAGCAAGCCAGCAGCACCAAGTGCACATGCTCTGTTCCTTCAACAAGAATGCTATGCTAAGACCTTATTTGAGTACAACAGTTTCATCTACTAGTCCTTATTTCATTAATTTAATGCCCATTTCAGAACTCTTTATTATAAAAGACAAACATACCTAATTCTTCTCCTGTATTATAGTCATATTTATAGAGTTTAAAATCTTCACCACCTGCAACCAAACATTCTTTTGCAGGGTGAAGTGATGCAGAATTGATTGTAGCAGGTGCTTCAAAGGATTTGATCTGCTCTAGACTGAGGGAGAAAAGTTTGTTAGTAAAGTTCACTCAAAAAGAAAAGTCCTAAGAGCAAAAAAGAGAATAGAATACAACCCCACAGAGCTTCTGAAGCAAGTTTTAATACTTGCAAATCTCGTTCACCAAGCTGGAAACTAGTTCAGAATAAGAAAAAAAAAAAAAAGTTCACACATTCAGACCTACTTTCTGGAATATGCTGAAGTATGTAACTTGCTTTCTTAAAACATCATAGAGATGTATAAATAATTAGTTCTGTGAAAACCACTGAACTGAACTCTGGCTGAAAGTTAGGTAACCACAATTACAATTAGTGTGAAATATGAAAATGGCACTGGACCCTCAGTCTGGTATCTTATAGACAGGGTTCACTGTTTTGTAAGAGAGTAGTTGTTTTACACTGCCTCTGACAAGAAGACAAGCAAAGATGTCCACTGCTGCCAGTTTGGTGATTCAGGCCTTGTACAGGCAGTTTTCCCTCACAATCAAGCCCATGACTCAACCTGTGAGAACTCCTGTGCTGTGGACTCACGTTTCGGCACTGTGAAAAGCAATAGTCTTCCCGTAGGTTATCACAAGTATCTGCCCTTCTGGAACGTATTCCATGCTGCTCACTGACATTGCAACGCTTAGTGACTTCACCTCAGTCATGGTACTCCGGTCCCAGAGGCTTAAGAGAAAACATGAAGGAGGGGGGGGAAAAAAAGAAAAAAAAAAAAAAGACTCTCAGATGACTTCAGCAAGTCAACAATTGTCATCTCCCATCAATGGCAAGACCTGGACCAAAAAAGGCACTTAAAGAACGTGATTTGATTCCACAGGTCCTTCAGACTTTCCATGGCATTATTTTCATTCTCACCTGGAGAATTCTCAACTGGAGCTGAAAAGGTGCCTACGGGGAAACTGCACCAGAGACTTCACCCTCCCCCATCCTTCCTGCCACACAGCAGAAAAGACTGTTCCGTTTCTAACAATGGTAAGTCTGCTAGGCATGAGATGACACTGCTCATATCAGCCAGAAAGCCTAACTGCTTCCTCAGCTTTCTGGAGAGCAGTCTGAGGAAGGGCCTTTGTCAATTCATCTCCCCAGCAGCCAGGTTTTCACAGATATGATCTCTGTCAGAAGAAGAGAGTTGTACTCAGCATGCAGCTACAATAATCTAGGATCAAATAACCTGTGTTACTTACAGCCTTTACCAAAATAACATAACTGTGTTCTCACATAGATTATAACAATAAAACTGAGCTCTTTGGAAACCCAAAAGTTAATGTTTTCTTACCGAACAGTTTTATCATCAGCTGAAAGAATCTGTTTGTCATCACTGCTCCACAAAGCCTTTTTAATGCCAGAAGTATGTCCACTGACAATGTCAGGTTCTTAAAAAGAAGGCAAATATTTTAATACATGTAAGAAAATGAAATAATGTCATGCAGCAGTTTGGGAGCTTTCTTTTCCATTTATTAGAAACTGTACAACTACTTCAAGCACTTATGACTTTATTTGAGGATCCTATTCCAGGACCAAGTTAAATGTAAACTGGGTATCTGAATGAATTTAAAAAACATCACTAGGTTATGTCAACGATCTGTAGTTCAGTATCAACACAAATTCAAACACACAAAGATGTGGAGTCTTTTTTTCTTCAGATGACTAAATTTTAATTAATTATACCTATTTCTAGTGAGTCTGAAACATGCTCTGCTTGAAGTCTGTTACACACAAACCTAACCTGTGGCTGCCCCATCCCTGAAGTGTTCAAGGCCAGGCTGGATGGGACTTTAATCAACTTGGTCTAGTAGTCCACAGAACAGGGGTTGGAACTAGGTGATCTTTAATGTCCCTTCCAACCCAAACAATTCTATGATCTTACTATAACAAAAGGTTGGAAACATTACATTTGTAAAACAATCCTCAACTTGGTCTTTTGTGATCCTTAATAGAAAGCAACTCTAATTCTTTGTAATAACTTGTATTTGACTCCGAAATACAAGAATCAGTTCTAAAAGCAACTCACCTGCCTCTGGCTTGCTCAAGTCATAGATACGCAACAGTTTATCTTGTCCACCTGTTAACAGATAATTGCTATCCTGAAACAGAAGTTACAGAGAGTCAACTCCATTTTGAATCATAATACCAGCCTACAACAACAGCTCTTTCTCTCAGACAGCCCCTAACACACTTACTGCATTTAACCTACAATCTTAAAACCCAGCAGTGGTATATGACTCGACTATTTGCCCATCTAGACATATATAAAGAGTAGAAAAGTAGCTAATAGCAAAACATACTAAAGAGCTTACTTCCCTGGTGAATAAGGTATAAAGGTTTCTCATACCTGTGTAAAATCCACACTTTTGACAATGTGTTTGTGAGCCAATGTGATTAGTTCATCGCCTGACACAGCATCCCACACTTTGCTAAACAGCAAGAGGAAACATTTATATTTTAGAAGCACCAGTACAAATCAGCTTGGACAGTCAGAAGAGTCTGTGAGCAATTTTTCCTGATGCCATCAGGACATTTCATCACAAGTGCTACATTCTTGCAAGTTATAACCCAACAAGTCAGTAAGAATACTTCATACGCTACTACTAAAGCTTTTTTTTTGACTATCCTACCACTTTCCTTTATCTTCTTCTTTGGGGTAATGCAGACTAATTAGCATTTTAGTTTTAAGACCAAGGTAGATCTTCTCTGCAGTCTCATTAATAGAGATTGACCTCTACTAACAAGACTCAACTTGCCAAATATTAATCTATGCTGCAAACAGCATAAACAATCATAAACATCAAAGAAATAATTCACTAGACATTTCTTGTAGTAAAAAGAGGCTCACTGCTAGATACAAAATAAATATCTCTTTCAACTCTGCTATAACTACAGTGCTAGAGATTAGAGCTGCAATAAAATTATTCTAGCAAACCAGTATGATAATTAAGTATATCAAGAAGCAATCACAAGTTGTTCATCACGATGGAATTAACTGTGGCTGCTTTCAAGAAGCTGAAAGTCTAGGTTTTAACTTGGCTAGGCAAAACAATTACTAAAGAAACCCAAATGAATCAGTGATTTGGAACAGCTGTATCATCACCAAAGAGCGCGACAGACTAAAACCAAAACACAGACCACAAGGACAGTGAATCACTTACGCTGTAAAATCTGCTGCTGCTGTAGCTGCTTTAGTGGCATCCGTGTTCAAAGTGGCACCCCAAACTGCACCTTTGTGACCCAGAAAGGTGCCAATCCAATCTCCTGTGTCGCCCTGACGCAGCATAGGCTTCCCATCTTCACAGAAACAAAACCAATGCTCAGGAAACGTGATAAAATAAGGAAGCTTCTGTAAAGTTTTCCCTTGTTCCAGCACACAGAATGCTGGCGTAAGGGAGTTAGTCCATACTTTATGAACCTATTATGGAATAGTATATGAAATACACCCCATGCTTTGTGAAGCCATTTCTGCAGAAGAGTTTAGGTGAAGAGCTCAAATGTGCAGCTGTACTTGCTCCATGCATCTAAACTGTCTGGACATTCCAACACTACTCCCAATGAGATAAAAGTTTTCTCATAAAAGCTTTTTTCAGGTTTGAGTTACAATAGAAGGGAGGCAGAAAAGAGCACTTCATTTAGGCTTTATTTTTGCTAAAGTGTTCTTCAAGCAGGACACATTTGTTTCTTTGCTTTGGAACAATATTATCAGTATGCAGAAACAAGTCTTCTGTTTGTAATTTGATATGTTTTAAAACACATAGGGTCACAACAATGAAACAGGAATAGAAAGCGTTTTGTGTGGTTATTTTTACTGGGAGGCTATCCAAGAGTTGTTCACACCAGACATAAAGCCAAACTGGAAGCACTTTATAGCAGAAAGGAATGTCCTTTAAAACTTATGGATACATATGTAAGGTTAACACAACAAAGAATTTTAAGGGTTGGAATAGACCCTACAGATCATCTAGTCCCAGTCCCCTGCCCAGGGCAGGAACACCTCCCACCAGAGCAGGTTGCTCAAGGCTTCATCCAGTCTGGCTCTGAACACTGCCAGGGTTGGGGCAGCCACCGC